ATCGTTCAGTCGATATAATATGGAACGTTCGTACCAAAACGAACGTGAATAAGTATCATAAGCGTAAAAAAAAAAACTAAGGAGTATCTGCACTGCACGCACATACACCGGTACGTGCTGCGTATGACTTATTGCTACTGAATCCTGCGGACGCAGAAACGCCAAAGTCGGACGGTTTTGCGCGGTTTTCGTTGGATCCGGTACCGGGTACTAGGGAACGAGGACTAAACTGTAGGTAACTTTCTTCGAGTGGTCGCTTTCCTTGAAAGTGTAGTGCATGCTTTCTGTCAATCGCTTTCGTGTCACCCTCATCGCCGTGCAGAGAACTTTTTAAGGACCGACTCCACGGCGATCGGTACGGCGGATCTCGATGTTAGACATCATAGATGCCTTCGATCATAAACTCGCTTGGGGTTAACTCGGATGAATGGGTAAGGAACGAAAGCTTTTTGGCGCACTCGTCGAACAGAAGCGAAATACGATGCTTGCTTGTCCCGGTTCCAAGCCCGAGATATACTTATCCTCGCTTCGCATTTTGCTGCTCCGAGAGCGAGAAATCGTTAACGTGTATCGAAAATGAGTTTGATCGCAGGCTCACTGGAAGCATTGAATTTTGCCGCGGCAACGGTCGCCAAACGAAGTATATATATTCCCGTGAGAGATTATACTTATACCAATGGTTATAGATAAGTGAAGAATAAAATATAATTAAGTTACATTAGGGAAGCATGGTGAATTGCAGCAAACCAGTTAAATGACTGAAGACGCAAAGATAATATAATCACAGTCTTGACATGTTGAGTTGTGTTGAAATTTTTAAAATATCGGGTATCATATAAAATAGTATATCATTTTTATGTAATCGACAATTTTAACTTTTTATTCTCGATACTTTCTGACCTTCTTTTCTTCTACGGTTCATTTATAAGACTATTGCACATATTAAGGCGAACGACATAGGCAACTAACTTATCATTTATAAATAAATATATAATTGTATTGTTCAAATTTAAACCTAGTAATTTTATAACGTATCCTTATAGTCTATAGCCCATGAACTTAAATAACGTGTTGACAGCACTGATAATAGTCAAATAGATTATAAAATTGATAATAATTTTTCCCGTATTATCTGATTAGTCTCTACTATTTATTTTTCACGAAGAAAAATACTCACCATTATTCATACATTCTTTATACTTCTATTAAATCTGGGGACATCTTATTTATTTTTATATGTAATATTAAAAATATATGGAATTTTTTTTTAGAATGTTAAAACGCTGAATACTAAATTGTATTTACAATTCAGAATGTATTTTGTATATATTGCAGAGAACGCCACTTGGGAGAAAAATAAAAAAACAAAAAAATTAGCTAAGTGGTCTAAACAGATATAACCATGTAGTTGTTAAAATATAAGTGGTATAAGGAAACTTCTAGAAAACTTTATTGAAACTATTTTAAATTGTACCTAATTTAATAAAAAAATTACTTAAAAATATTTCTTATTTTACTACTATTTTTAATTTTTAAGTAATATTATCAGAAGTATTAAAAAATGTTTAGACATTTTTAATATTTTACAAAGTATTTTCAAAGTATTCACAATATAAAAATCGAACTTTGAGCGAATTGAGACGCTACCTGCGTGAGACATCTGTACTACCGAACTGCCGAGAAAACTTGCGACCGGAATGTGTACAAAAGCGGTGTCAACCCATCTTCTCTAAATCGTATCTATTGCACATGAATTGAAATATGGATAACGCTTATATAGTATTGTTAAGAAAAAAATAAAATCGTTGATGCAATTTTAAGTTGATCGCATCGTTGTACGCTTGGGTTTACTTCCATTCATAAACCGATTTGATATTATTTTTGAAATCAAAACTTTGACAGCTGATTAGAATATAGATATTACATTTTTCTACTCTGACATTGTATTGGCTAGTCACAATTGATTTCCAGTGTAGCAGTGTTCGATGAACTCATTTTGTTATAATGTATGTATCTCACATGATTACACGGTATTAATTTTATGATCGAACGAATATATTTTTATTGCTGACACATTATACCTTATGGAAATAATGAATAAGTTTTAACCAAGGCTGGGCATTTACGAGTTAAAAAGTTAAAGTTAAATTAAAAAGTTAAGTTACTTTTAACTAAGTTATTTAACGAGTTACTTTTATTTTCAAAAGTAACTTCCAGTTTAACGAGTTTCTTTTTTTTTTAAACAACTTCTAACTTAACGAGTTAATTTATTAATTTATCCTAATATAAATTTCATATATTTAAAATTATATTTAGTACTTACTAAGTACCTACTGTAATTAATACAATTACATATGTTTATTGAAAATAGTTAGACTTCCATTATATTGTGTTATTTGTTAAGCTTTGATAAAAATGTATGATAATATATTGTACATAAAAAAAGAAAATAACTTATTTTTAACTAAGTTAAGTTACTTTTTTTTCAAATTAACTTTTAACTTTTAACGAGTTAAATAAATAAGAAAACTAAATTTTAACTTTAAACTTAACTTACATCTTTCTGTATTAACTTAACTTAACGAGTTAAAATAATTAGTTAACTTGCCCAGCCTTGGTTTTAACTGTAGGAATTCGGTTGCAAAATTGTATCACCAAACTTATTAGTATTGATTTTAAGGAAAATCTTAAAGTAAGAATATTAACCTAATGAAACTATAATAAGTTTGTTTTGATGAACAGTTTAAAATCAATTTTGGCTTATATTATCACAATGCAAAAATATGATGAAAGTTCATTCATAAAAAAATTATTATACGACGTGATGTGATTATCTCTGGTGCAAAACATACAATACAGGACTGAATTTATTTTAATGGTGAAAACAACAATGAATGTATTTTACTGTAATGTACTAGAAAATCACAAAAATTGATATTTGATGTTTATAGCTTTGTCATAAACGGAGTACATAAAACCGAATATATTTATCATAATGGTTTATAATAGTATTAATAACTTTAATGGATCATTTTTATTTTGAAATAATTTACAATGGCGAATAGTCACTGTCATTTTAATAAATATTTTATTACAAATGGTAAACAAAACGTAATTGAATTATGGTTTTAGCCATAGTACATAATTTTATTTAACAATTTTTTATTATTTGTTATTCCATGCTTAAATGATTAAAAGTAGATGTCGAATAAGGTGGCCCTTATTTATAAACTTTCAAATTTTTAATTTTTCATCCTCCCAATTTTTTCATTACCATACGAAAGTTATGTGGGTAAAATTTGATGATTAATAATCCCCTTCAGGTGCCGCAAGAGGGTTGAATATTCACCAAAGAGGGTAGTTTTAGGTTTATTCTGATTTAATTCATTATATATTGCATTTAGCATGAAATTGTATAGTACTTAAATTGTAGATTCAAGTATTCTCTATAAAAAATAATATTTTAACAAATTTCTCGTAAATCTATTATTTTCTGTAAAAAACTGATTCTTAAAAAAAAAAAATCGAAATTTTACATATATTCTCTATATGATTGTTTTTACGATAACATACTTATAAATCTTTAAAGATGAAATAAAATAAAATTGTTTAAAACTAATGTACTAAAGCTAATTTTACAATTATATTTGTGTAATAACCGTCCACGCGCCCGCTCGAAGATTAAATTATATCTTATCTATATTTGCATATTTCTTATCGAGCTTTTCTTATTCAGTTATTACACACTTATGGTATCTTGCGCCGGAAATTATAGCCTTATCATTTTTTATTTTCGGGTGCCAACCGAAATTAAAATTAAAATGGTCGAAGCACTTAAATCAACGCAGAACAATGATGATACAGTTAAAAAAAATTTTTTGAGTAAAGAGGATATAAAAACATTTATAAAAAAAAGAATTGCATGAATTTGTATCGCCAGAAACAGTCTTAAAATTTCAGCTGACTTCATAGATTTCCACCTGGATAGTTGGAAAGAAAGAGAAGACCTATTATTCGCTTAAAAAATAATAAAATAAATTAATAAAAAAAGAATTTATATTTTAACAGTCATAAATCATGTTGCAGAAAGAGGTGTTAAGTTAATTAAAAAATACAATAGTATACTGATGAAAGACAAAAATCAAAAACAATTTCTACTACAAGTTGTAAATGATTATACAACAAATTACCCTGACTGTAAAAAAAATACATTAATTCATTCATAATTAATAGATATTTTATTTGAATGTAACGTATCTAATTTTCACATTGTATCACTCCATTGAACCACTACCTATTTATATATAATGACATCAATATTTAATATGTACTTGTGTAGATAAACGATTTTTTTTTTTTTAAGATTCAGTTTTTTACAGAAAATAATAGATTTACGAGAAATTTTTCCTAAACGTTTTTTATAGAAAATACTTGAATCTACAATTTAGATTTTATACAATTTTATGCTAAATGCAATATATAATGAATTAAATCAGAATAACACTAAAACTACCCTATTTGATGAATATTCAATCCTCTTGCGGCACCTGAAAGGGGTTATTAATCATCACCAAATTTAACCCACATAACTTTCGCATAGTAATGAAAAAATTGGGTGGGTGAGAAATCAAAAATATTTAACTTCCTTTATCCCCCTACTATATAAGGGCCACCCTAATCGACATTGTCGATAGATAGTGAGATATTCTACGAAGCTGGTTTGTATACTGTGTTAAACGATATTTTCAATTTGTATTGTTCCTATACGGTTACGATGTTGACAATCTAAAATGTCATCGGGTCTTATTGATGTACAGTGACCCAAACACACACGGCCGATAAATATTTGAAATCTCGTTTAATCAGATAAATTTAACATATAAGGTATAAAAAAGGAACTTTAAATTTTGGATTTGGATCGCTAAAAGTACATCGTGGTAGATAATGAGCGATAAGTTTTCATTTATTTTATAATAGTTTGTATAAACTTGCTGTAGACATCTATTGTTTTGGTCGTACATTTAATTTTTTAGGACTGATTTTAAATGAGTTAAACACTCATAAGCCGCATCTTCTTGACAGTCGAGTAACGTTTCACCGAAGCCAACGACCGTCAGTGCAGAATGATTTACCGTAAGCTGAACACACATTAAATCTTTTCCTGTAAGTACATAAGTAATTTAACTGTTTAGTTTTACACGATGGATATCTGAAAATCGTACTAATCATCGGCGAACAGGTTTCGTCAATGTCATAATGCAATATTAGCTCTTCTTCATCTGCGATTCGTTTCAATAGATCAACATTTGAAGGGACCGTAAGCATGCTTATGACTTTCATTTCCTGTGGAGGTATAAAAATTGTGTGCATAAATCACGTGCTACAACGGTACGTGTACACGACGGGTTGTGGTCGGATAAAACGAATGCAATTACCTTCAATTCGAGCACACTCGGCTTGTTTGACCGTCGAAAATGTTTGGCAAAATCGACATCTACAGAGGCAAACATTGACTGTTGGTTTTCATTAACAATAACCGATCCGTTTACTGGTGATACGTGGTTCTCGTTATCATAGGGGAATCCGGAATAAACGATTGGACGACCAGTATCGGGTTTTTCAAGAGACGCCGGGTGACGTACGATATCATTGCAAAATTCTTGCCGTGCACAAATTGGATCAGATTTTAAATGTGCATCTAATTCATTGTCTGTAAATTTTTTTCTGAAAAAAAAAAACATAATACTGTACACTTTTTCTATTAATTAACAACCTGTTTTTTTTTTTTTAAAATATATACTTATTAGTTATGACCGTCTTGGTTTGATCCTGTACTTGGACAGCAATCAACTCATTATGAACCGCGAGTTTATTAGCCACTTTTCCGACGTTTTCTTCAATGCACGTAGAGTTATTGTTTCCCGTTAATTTTTTCTTATGATCAATTAGGGTAGTCATTGTGGTTGATAAGCAATTGATATTATGTTTGAGGTTTTTCTTTGATTCGTTGGTCAATTGCGGTGGCTGAACTTTGTTGACATCAATACTTCTTTGACCAATGCTATTAATGGCAGTGGCCATAAACAGTTTGTCGTCGATGCCAGCCGACGTGGCTACACATAAACTATCAAATACCCCGTTATCTTTACATTTGTTTTCAGTGAAATTATTTTCTGACATTTTAATTTTTTGATACATCAATGTAGCAGCTTTTCGTTTAGCCTCTTTTTTTAGCAGACCTTCGACTATTCGATCGGTACAAAGGAACATTAATATCTTTTCGAACAAGAATAGAAATTTTAATTCAATCACTTACCCCTAACTGTGAACGATAGTACGGTACACTCTACCGAATAAGTAAAAGTTGTACTATCACCTTCTTTAAAATACTTATACTCCGGTAGTTTCCAATCTCGGTACCTACATAATTCTTGTAGTCCACATATCGGATCAGATTTTAAACGTGCATCTAATTCATTGTCTCTGCATTTTTTTCTAAAAAAAAAAAAAAAACCATAATACTGTATAATTTTTTTGGGAGTTTCCTGTTTCCGCCAAAATAATATTGACCGTTTCCGCCATAGCCCTTTTCCACTAAAAACGAAAAAGATATGATTCCTGTTTCCATCAAAAAAAGTTTGGAAACCATTGGTTTTAATTTTTAAGCAATATTAAATATATGTTGTGGTATGTGTAAGAGACATTAGTAATGTATACACTGATAATCGTCGATAATAACGGTACACTGTTCGATATACTGTATCATAGTTTATTTATAATTCGTACACAATAATTAGGTATCTGACAAATGTTAAATTTTTATATTTCCATTTAGTATCTGTTCTTTTTGTCACCAGAACACTTAATCGTTCTTACTTATTTACCGTTCTTAAAATTGAATTTGTTGTTAAGTAAAAGAGGTAAAAAAATTTTGATTTTTGATGGGTTTAAATATGTTTTTGGTTATACGTCAAAAACAAATGTAACTCGGAGGAGATGTTTCATGAAAAATTGTCGGGCCAATATTTTTGAAAAATAAAAAGTATTACTTGCAATAAAAGGTATGTTTTTTTATCTACAAGTAAAATAAATATATTTATTTAATTATTTATGACAATATGTGTTTTTTTCAAAACTCTATCGAAACAATATTTGACCTATCTTTCTTTTTTACTTTATAAATAGTTAAATAGAATGGACATATTATAATATATATAATAATATATATATAATATGAAATTATGTAATACTTTAAAACTCTAATATAATTGTACCTATATTCAATTAATATATTATTATTATCTACTTGTATTAAAATGTATAATAAAAGAATGTGTCACAATTGTACATGATTCCCAAACATCTTATCACAAGAATAAATTTTGTCGGAAACGGGAATGATACCTTTTTCGTTTCTGGTGATATAGGGCTGTGCGTAAATCAAGGAACCGGATTTTTGACGGAAAAGGTACATGCCCCTTTTTCAATTTATTATCAACCTGTTCTTTTTTTTTATATACTTATTAGGTATGACTGTCTTGGATTGATCCTGTACTTGGACAGCAATCAACTCATTATGAACCGCGAGCTTATTAGCCACTTTTCCGACTTTTTCTTCAATGCACGTAGAGTTATTGTTTTCCGTTAATTTTTTCTCATGATCAATTAGGGTAGTCATTGTGGTTGATAAGCAGTTGATATTATGTTTGATGTTTTTCTTTGATTCGTTGGTCAATTGCGATGGCTGAACTTTGTTGGCATCAATACTTCTGTGACCAATGCTATCAATGGCAGTGGCCATAAACAGTTTGTCGTCGATGCCAGCCGACGTGGCTACACATAAACTATCAAATACCCCGTTATCTTTACATTTGTTTTCAGTGAAATTATTTTCTGACATTTTAATTTTTTGATAGATCAATGTAGCAGCTTTTCGTTTAGCCTCTTTTTTTTAGCAGACCTTCGACTATTCGATCGGTACAAAGGAACATTAATATCTTTTCGAACAAGAATAGAAATTTTAATTCAATCACTTACCCCTAACTGTGAACGATAGTACGGTACACTCTACCGAATAAGTAAAAGTTGTACTATCACCTTCTTTAAAAAACTTATACTCCGGTAGTTTCCAATCTCGGTACATACACAATTCTTGCAGTGCACATATCGGATCAGATTTTAAACGTGCATCTAATTTATTATCTATGAGTTTTTTTCTGAAAAGAATCATAAATTTGTAAAAAATTTTATAATAGATTGGTTTCTTATATATATACTTTTCATCGTTAACAGTAGTCTTAAACGTTTTGATTTGGTCTAGTTTTATGATATTATTTATGTCGCTATGACCGCCGGATTTGGCGTTCATTTTGCAGCAGTTTTCTTCTGTGAAAATTGTATCGTTCTTCGTCGCATCTAGGTGATTTGATACTACTTTGAAATCACTTGAGATAGTTTTTGTTAATGATACTTCATCGATACTAGCTCCGATGATTTTCATTGGGTTTTCGATTGTCTGAGGTTGTTGGACTTTGATAACATCAGAGGCTTTTTGGACAACGCCATCAGAAACACCGACGAAAGCCAGATTTTCATCGAGTTTAGTTACATACAAATCAGAGAACTTATCACAGCGTCTCGTACCCACGTTTTCAGCCTTCTCAGATTTAGTTAATTTGCTGATAATATTGTAGCTTTCGTTTCCATAGTCAAACGATGCCATTGGATATTGTTTAAATTTTTCTGCTAATTTTGATACCAAATAATTTTTTTCATTCAACAACTCTTTGTTTTTCCTTTTCAGTGACTCAATTTCTTTGATCAACTTGTCCAATGTATTTTGATAATGGCGATAAAAATTTGGTTGATCAATTTTCGATGAATTATCTAAAAGAACATGTTTCAGTGTTATTGTTTTACGTTATAATGTACATTGACTTACAGATTTCGATATATTATTAACTGAATCTATAATTTTGTTACATACCTCCAAATTCTGTTACTCTATATTGAAGCTGCTCATATTTTTCCCTCAAATTTGAGAACTCATTGTCCTTCAACTGAAGCTGCATTTGAAAATTATCTGCGAAAGAATATTACTCTGTTATAATATATTAGAAATACATATTACTTTTGTAGTATTCAGAGCTTGTAACAATCAGATACTTTTCATTTCACTAATTTTTGATAATAATTGGTTAATAGTCGTCCCCTGAACCTCGATTTGCTTTGTAAGCTGAGCCATACATCTATCATCTTCTTCTACACAGGTAACAGACCGAATGCAATTATTACTCATCATGAAATATATTAATCTGTAAATTATAAAGTATATTAATTATTTATATAAGTATAGTTGCTTTACGATTATAATAATAATAATAAGAAATCGAACTGATTCTGTATTATATTATGGTATGAAATTGTAAAGCAAGAAATCGTAGTATTAAATTCTAAACGAAATCCAATATAGATAATAACAAACTAATATTGTTTACTAAACAATATTTATAAATTTATTAATTAGACGTTGTTATATCCAAATTGAAAGTATTTCATTTGAACCAGCTAAAAATTAATTTTAATTTGATATTTTTCAAGTACAAAACTCCACGAAATATCCTGACACTACTTACTTCTTATATTTTACAACTAGTAATTACTAAAAAGTGAAATTTTTTCAATCGACTCTTTGACCACAAATAAAGATACTAATTTTTTTTTCATGTATTAATAGTTTTCGTATTATCATTATTCATTAAATATTACAAAAATGCTTTGATATCAAAACTATTCATTTTGTTTAAATTTTAATCGAAAATCTAATGTTTTTATAATTACCATATTTTTTTTTTTTTTTAATTGTGAAATGTTTATAAAATTCAAACGCTGTTATTCATATTGTCTTAAATCTAATAGAAATTTTCGCGAAAAGGTACCTACTTGGTGTTACCAATTTCGCAACATGATCTCGATTGAATTTTCTCGTAATTATTTCATAGTTCTCTCAGTTACTTGGGAAACGGTCAAAAATTTAATAAAATAATTATCATCCTATAAGAATATTAGATACATATCAGTTATCATATGTCTCCCATGATTGTGACGATTGGAGCGAATTTCCACACGAGATGTGTATCGAGGTGAAATTATGCAGTGTTAGTTGAAACGATGTAATTTTCTAATAATTGTTATTTGCTTATGAAGTCTATATGTACAGAAAACAAACAAGTACCTACATAATCGATGGGGATGGTCAATGCTTTAAAAGATTCTGAATAATGCAGACTCTGTGTTATAAATAACTGTAGTCAAGTCTTCGATTACGGGAAAAATACATGACAGTATGTATAATAATAATATGATTGGTAGAAAAAAAAATTATGTCGGCATTCGTATTGTATATAAAAACTGATGCCGAATGTGATCAGTTCTCATGAAATAAGAGGCTACCGTATAAAATAAAATAAACTGTTTATAATAATATGATTAACTGAAAATGAATATAATGATTGAATTATAATAATTCTATGAAATCGTCAGTAGAACAACTATAGCATGTGGCATAAAATGGAACACGCTGCATTTAAATGACATCGAAGTAAAATTAAATTCATTATATCACTGCCGTATCTATTTAATCTGTCGGTTAAATTGTTTTATTATAAAATCGCATGATGCACATCGTTTGTAACGTTTTTTGGCTCGTGTTTATGTTACCTATTAGTGATAAGTTTTTTGGAAATCATTAGTATATTGTTTCCTAATTTCTAATGTAATAAATTATGGATAGGGATATAATTCTTTAAATACATCAAAAGCACTACGTTTAATTTTTTGATTCTTTTTCCGATATGAATGAGCATAATATCGTGTTTTTTTCTATTATTAGCGTTAATGATTTTATTTAACATATATATTTACTTATGGGCCTATGTTTAATGATTACAGTATATACTAAAAAGCATAATATTTACTTTTTCTAATGATTCTACATTTTTAAAGGACAAAAATCAAAAACTTTAAATTTCCAATATCGAAAAATATAAACAATTTATAACGTTTTTTTTCTCAACCACGAACAACTTAAATTTGTTAAAATGTTTAATTCACGAATAACGATAAAAATATAATACAACTTTTAAATTACCAAAAATGACGAAAGAATCAATGACGTTTATACGGTATTTTTTTTTTAACCCGAGTCCTGATAAAAACATTGATACTACTTACAATTTAGATTATTAGGAAAACTAATTTACACACCGTGTACAAGGTGTAAGATTTGTTGTATTTTGTTTTAGATCCGAATAGAAAAATTAATTTACTGATTCAGAACATTTATGCACGGTACACATTAACCCAACCAAATTTATCTATTCGTGCTATGCGTATGAAAATATTTGATTTCCGTCACATTTTAGACGAGTGTGACCACTTATGTTCGGCACAACGAGTTTGGAAACAATGCGTACGCACGTAAGGTAATACTAGCAGGACGCGAGTTTTAGCGTTTACCCGGACGATTTACGCCATGCCAGCGATTTATTTCGACGAAGAAAGCGTAAATACCCACCAAAAAGAAATGCAAACCCTTGAAACGACGTACACACACACACACGCGCGTGCGCTAATACGTATTATTATTATTTTTTTATCCTACGAACTACGCACGTCATCGGCCTATCCATCCTGTCACATACACGCTCAAGGGAAACCGATAATTATTGTATTTAGGGTGGGTCGACCCCACGATGACAACCCTCCTTTCATTTTTTCTTTGCTTTTCTCTCGTCGTAAACACAGTCGCGGCACTAGCCTACTGCTACTTCGGACACGCCCATCGAGTGAAACAACGCGTAAAACGCGTCACGGCAAGAGACGTGTGTACACGCAAAAGTGACGAAACGTATATGTATAATTTTTTTCTTTTCCCTCGAAAACTCTCTCACCGCCGCGGCCGTCAACATTGAAACACGGTAATTATTCGTCCTAACGGTTTTCGTCCGGAGCGCACAAACAGCCGCGCGGCAAAGACACCGTTGGCGTACGATAATTATTTTATTATTATTTCTGTTTATTTCAGAATAAGACATCTATTGGTCTGTTGTGTGGTTAAGGTGCAGACCTACAGGGAGGGGTCACATCATACGAGGGAATTCATACAACGCTAGTATTCATTACGTAAATCGAATTATTGTACACGGGTGGTTTACAAGTTGTTGTCTAAATTATTTTTGATTGAAAAATGTAAAAAAAATATTGGCAGTGTTCTGTTGGTCGGTCGAGGACTTCTCCAGTCGGTGTTGAATCGTTGAGAACGTTAGTGTCGTGATGGAATTTGGACGGTCGATGATGATGTGTACGATTGTAATAGAAACTTAGCATACGTTACGCGCAGGTTTGGGTTCCTCGGTGATAAGGTACGAATGCATGAAGTGTGATCGGCATGTTCTCTGGCTCTATTTGTTCTCCAATTATATTTTTATTGTTCGCACTAATAAACCGATATCTGCAGCATGGACAAAAGAAAATGTTATTTGACAACAATGTAATTATAAACAAACGAAACGGTAATAATGTACATGTTACGGGTAATGTTAGCAATTGAATAAAGTCGATATCGACCGGATAAAATCAACGTCGTCCATGCATTTTGGCTAATGTGCAATTCATCAATCATAAACATAATCCAGATAATATTATCGTTTCCAATCAATAGTGGTAAAACTAGTTTGACAATTATTGTGAAGAGCTATACATTAAAAATGATGTTTACATCATAAAAGTTTTGTTAGCATTTCGTATGTGAGGTTGTATGCCGTTTGTGCATATTTTCTATAAACACGATCCGTTTCCGCATTTTTATGCGGTTTGATTTCTTCAAAACTGGTTGAAAGACTGTCAAAATCATAAAGCGGCAATCTGCCGAAGTAAAGCATTAAAAACTAATAGGAATTATCTTGTTGATAAAGCGAAAGATGTTTGGGTCTATAGTATTTATTTTAATTGGTCTGTTTATACTTTTCTCATGGTCGCATGCAATTTTTCACTGATAAGTGTTTTAAAGTTATTTACATTTTTGACAAAATGGAAAATAAAATATAATTTTTATATTTATATTTGAGAAACTATTGTCGGAAAAACGGGAATGGAGTGAACAAAACCGATTTGAAGTATAAAAATTGTACTAAAAGGTGATAATTAAACTCGTCTTATCAATATATTAAACAATAGTAATATCGGCTGAGAATAAAAACTAATAGCACCCATCAAAAATGGCAGTAAAAATTTATTACTAAATCTAAATGTCAAAAAATGGGCCATATAAAAATAAATTATTATAGGAATGAAAATTTTTAAATTTCTATGCTTAAAATAATTTTATTTTATGACAGTCTTGTGGTCGTTAAGACATGATCAAATGTTATCACTGGCTCATGTTGTATTATTAGACTAACGTCAACTCAATCCAAATGATAATATTACCTAAAATATATACAATATAATATAATAATATAATATATAATATAATAATTTTACTAAATATTGTTGTATATTTATTTGTACTTATTTAACCAGTTATTTTTTATCATCGATGATTTAAAAAAATTCATCGTTTTTATGAAACATTTTGAGGTAAATTTCAAGTCCATTTACACTTTAGAAATAGCTTTTACTCAAAAAAAGGAAAATCAATTTTTTTAATAAAGTTTAATTTATTATACAAATTTTCTACAATTCAATTTTTAACTAATTTTTATCCAAAAATCTCTAGATATCGAATGAATTTCAAATCATGGAGAGTTTTTTGAACTATTAAAAACTTAAAATTAGATAAATTTTGATTATGATATAATAATTAATTCCTAATAGTGTGGTCAGATGGAATCTTCGTTGATCCTAGCTGTCGTGAGAACAACAGCTGCCTTTGGTCTCAATGTAATGTTCTGGGTACGTAAGATATTTCTGAAATAATAATTTAAAAACCATATTAATGACTTTAAAGTCTAATTGTTGAAAGCTCAATTAGGTTTGCAAGCACTGACGTTGTTCTTACAACAAAAAAAAAATAATTTAAAAGTATTAATTAACTATTACTTACCCGGTCACATAGCCAGAATTAATACTTGAAACTTTAACTTTCAAAAAAAGCGGTAAAGTATCTCTTGCTTTTAATAAGTCAACTGTTTCCATTTCACTTCCTAGATTTACTACGATGAAATATGTTGGATGATCGTAAAAACTCCTGTAATAAAATGCGTACAATACAATTTTCAGATTGTACAGTAAATTTAAATAATATTTATCAAATTAATTGTTGGGCGTAAAATTATTGCCTACACGAGTAAATTCTTTGTGTCTTGTTTTCAAGTCAAAGTTGAAGTATAATTCTTAATTGAACTAATCACAATATGATTATTATTGATATTATCGGCCAATGAAAACCAGAAAATCAATATACATAAATTTAAGCAAAATAAAAAAAAAATATCCAGTGTATTTGATATGATTTGCATATTTAAACAGTGCAAAATATGCATATGCAAGTTATAAAAAATTAATTAAAATAGTTTTCCGAAGAAATAAGAAAACGTATTCGAAATAAACGACTTCCAATGAAACAGATAGAAATGAAATTGGACGATTGATTATTATTGACTGTACACGATTGTGACGTAGATGAGCGACGTACCTCGAGAATCCAAACACCCAATGGGAAAGGGTGTACAGATGCAAATCACCCTTAATGAACGTGGGACTTTGCCTCAGCTGGGACAGTTGTCTGTAAGTTCTCAGGTTGCTTTTGATTTTCGATTCATTTTCCATGTTTTTCCGCCAGTAATCCGAATTGAGAGGCAACCACAATGAAGAAGAATTGGAAAAACCTATTTCACAAAACAACGTGATTCCGTAAATCGCGCACATTCAAACGATTCTTAGATTCGAAAACGCATTGCTACCTGCGTTGTACGAGCCGTCCCACGGGAAAGGCGTTCGCGCCGGATCTCTGCTGAACTTCTGGAATCGGTACGGGCCCACGTTCAGACCGGCCGGGTCCACGGTCTGGTCCCAACGCACGTTTGTGTCGATCATACCGAGTTCGTCACCGTAATAAGTCACCGACGTGCCCGGCAACAGCATTTGGATCATGTGCAGTCCGTCGACCAACATCGGATTGGTCCTGGTGGCCATTCTCGTGTTGTCGTGGTTGCCCAGCTGCAAGACACGTACCACGGTGGCGGATCAAGTCCACGTCGATTATAATTATTGTTGTTGTTATTAATATTATAGTCATTATTGTGTTCTAAACTTACCACCCAGTTGGGCCACATGCCTTTAGGCATACTCGTAAGCCACTGCTTCACCAACGAATGAACCATTTCGGCGTTGGATTGCTGGTTGAACATACCGATGAACATGAAGTTGAACGGGAAATGAGCGCCGGGCGTAGTACGATTTCCGTAGTACAGTAGGGTCTTGTCGAAAGGCGAGTAACATTCCACCATCATGAACCTAGAATAACGTAAAACGAAACGACAATGTGTCTTCGTGTTCCTTCAGCGTCCTGTGTCATGTAACCTAACATCGACGGGCGCGCGCAGTACACCAAAAGATTTGTTACGAATAGTAGGTATTATTTAAGTGACCGTTAAAAATCATAAGTACTATCTATCGTCTACCGATCGTTGTTGGCTAAGAGACTTCAACCGAAAGACCGTAAAACATTTGATGAAAAAGCCGTATAAACTGATTTGTCTACATTTTTAAGTAGTCGGTTAAGCGTATACGACTTGATCTCAGCAAATGTCAATGTAAATAAGAAAACAACATTTCCTTTTCCCTCTTTGACCCTATAGTTTCTACGTGCCTGTTGTAAAGATGTGTCATTCGACAACGATATTACGAGCACGAGTTGCTCGCTGTGCCGCGATTCGGTAATGCGTCGGACCTAATTGCAATTCAATTGTGTTAGGTTTGAAAACAATTTCATCATCTCGTTCGCGCAACAGTTATCGTTTCGCGGACTTCGTTGCACTCACTTGGTTTTCTTTTCTCTGGTCCGGTAGCTGTCCAACAGCTTCCTCCACTCTTGCACCATGACGTAGGTCTCCGGTTGGTCGAGTGTGCTGGTGTGCGTCAACGAGTCGTAGTCCGTGTCCAGGTAACCGACTTTGTTCGATTTCGGCTCGTCGGCCAGGTCTTCTCTTTCGTACATGTAGTTCACCGCGTCGAACCTGAAGCCGTCCACGCCGCGTCCCAGCCAGTACAGCAACGTGTTCTGCCGTCAACACATCGAAAACGTTATCAAACGTTACGGTACGCGATCGGCACCGGAGACCGGCAACCGGCCAACTCACCTTGATCTCCTCCCCGACCGACGGATTCCTGTAGTTCAGGTCCGGTTGTTTCACTTGGAACTGATGCAAATAGTACTGTTGCCGAATCTCGTTCCACTCCCACGCGGATCCGCTGTTGAATACGCCCAACTGGAAAAACGACGAAATGTATTCGAGTTTTTTTTTTTTTTTTGCGTTTTGTAATACGCGTCCGGATCCGAAGTGGACGATCAAGTCTGTGAAATATTCTATCAATGGGCACCGTTTTTTTTCCATTCTTTTTTTGAAAAAATTTCGCTATTGCGAACATTTGGAAACACTTTGCCGATGGAAAATGTGTTCATTTTACTCTTATTTTCATCAAACCGTCCCATTCGTCTTTCGATTCGCCGACCGACTATTTTAAACTTCTTATCAATAAGTAGTATGTATACAGTAGTCGGTTGTTGATAAATTTTATTTAAAAAAATATTATTCTTTTCAAAATTTGACAATCGGCCAAGAAATATCGGATACTCGCGTTGATTTAACAGATTTGTCTGGACACGGCAGGAAATATATTTAGTTTTAAGTCATAATTCCTATTCAATTTAATTTGGATTATAAAAAAATGAATAAATATATAATATCTAGAAGTTTCATGGAAATTACGAGAATTTTGAAAACTCTATAAAAATTACAATACCTCCATAATAATAGTAACAAATTGATCCAAAATTTAAATTACTTATAATTATTATTGTCTTTTAAACTTATTAATTACCAACCAAAACTATTATAATTATGTAATTATGATATATTTCGTAAATATTGCTTTTCGGAGGATTTAATAAATTATTGTTCAAACAATTTTAAATTATAATATTTTTATCATTGTGATTCGCGTTGTTCAACATCTAGAAAAAAAATCACCATAATTGGTATTTATGAATTTTTAATTATCATCAGTATTACTAGTATATTCGATACATAAATTTTCTTCCGGTACGCAATGATTACAGATTATTTATATAAAAATTATCTAGCCACGTAAAATAGCCGATAGGAAATCGACCGGGTCGAAATAAATTCGCTCCGAATCATGAGCCTCGACCACAGGTCAGGTTGGTGACCATCGTTTTGCGGATTCGAATCACATGGATCGTTTATCATGTCGGAGACGTCGCCGCTTTTCACTAGGTCCAGTAATGTATTGTATGAATTGTAATGTGTGTTCTAAACTTTAAACCGTTTATCGAACGAAAATAAATCTCTAAGCGACCCGAGTCGTGTCAGCATGGTTATATTTAACTCGTATAGCAATATCAAACCGTTATTGTTGCGTAGAAAATATTGTCTACGCGTTGATTACGGGGTGTGCTTAACGCGTACCTACATTACTATCTGTGTGACGATCATAAACGAAATATGCCATAATGATTGTACACGTTTTACTTACCCAGTTGTTCGGAGGCGTTCTGTTGCCATATTGATCGATGATCGGATCTTTCCATACATAATATTCGGTGAACGGCGCGATTTTCTGGATCGACTTTTGGAACCATTCGTGTTCGTCACTAGTGTGGTTGGGTACAAAATCCAACAGGATTTTTATGCCTATGCGTAAGCGAAAAAATAACAATATAATAGCGTATTATTGGGCCGCACAGTTATGCCGTGGAAAAGAACCGCTTTGTTTGGATGTATAATATATATATATATGTGTACCGTGTTTATGAAACTCATCCCTCATGCGTTCAAAGTCTTCCATTGTGCCGTACAACGGGTCGATCTCTTTGTAGTCCGATATATCATAACCGAAATCGTTTTGTGGCGAAAGGAATATGGGCGATAGCCACACGGCTTCGACGTTAATACTTTTGAAGTACGGGACTTTTTCCGTTATACCTGTAGAACAAAATAACATATCAATATAAACGCATCGTTTTAATATTTAAACGACGGGTTTTTCGATTAAGCTTACGTTTCTAAGGGTACAGAAACCCTTCGTCTTACATTTGAAATATCATTTGACGAGAAAAAAAAACTTTATTTTATAAACTCGTTTTTGAATAACAGTTCACTCAACAGATAAAATAAATATACTTAAACGTATAATTTTTTTCTTTTTTTTACAAAATGCACCGGACTGACTGAACATACAAAATGTTTTTAAAACGTTAAACTATTATTTTGAATAAATTTCTTTTCAAAATCAAATCAATGCCTACTTTAGTTAAAATTAAAAGCTGAACGCAAGTGATTTCTATGTACAAAATAATAAAGATTAGGCGAAATATAAGTAAACACAGTGATACATTGAATACGGGGACTTGATGAAAGAAATAGGTATATTAATTCAACATATTATTATGTTGTTTCTAAATGAGAAATAGAAACGTACCGAAGAGAACCGGTTTTGGATATTTTACCTTAACGTTAACTTAGTTATCCAACTCAAGTTTTCCCATAACAACATATCCGGAAAAAATGGTTTGTCTACCAGTGAAGAACTGATCCGGTTAACGATTGTGAAATATATGCATTTTAAACGTTAAGAAGAATAAAAGAAAACATATTAAGCTAAAAATTAACTAATTTAATAATAATTTTAATATTTTAATAATATTTACATCAGACCGTAAAATTTATGTAACAAAAAACAAAAATGTTTGGAAAACTTTCCACGTAGTGTCTTCTGGGTAACGCTGGACTCAACTCATATACTGGATTAAAAATATTGAGGTCATATATTGGATAAAATTTGTTTGAAACCGAAACAAAACCGTGACCGAAATTTTAGTTTTTAAACGTCGAACTTTTTTTTTTTTTTTTTTACTAGGAATCGGACCGGAACCGGAAACGTAAAATTCATCCAGTTCCTTGTTCTAAACATTAGCTGTATTGTTTTTGATACGCGCATATTTATACACGTGGAACTGTACAACCGCAGAACCGAACGAAACCGAATGTTTTGCGCCGAATCGCGTCGTGTCGCGTTGCGCAGTCGTACTGACCGTTCAGATCTCCGATACCGTCGCCGTCGCTGTCTTTGAACGATCGCACGTAAATCTGATAGATGATGCTGGACTGCCACCAATCGGGTTCGAACGAGTTGCTGAGGCCCTCGTACACGTACTCGGACGACACGAGCGCGCCGGAGGCGATCAACCACAGGAACGCAACGGGCGCGAACATGGTGCGCGTCGATTCGATAGTGACGAGATGTATCGAAACGTCGATACGCAACAATGTTGTACGGGACGTACCTCGGGGGTACACCGACGCGATAATGGCGAGCCGGCCGGGTGCCGACGACTATTTATGCGCTCCGCGAACGGCTCGGCCGACGTTTCGCGTACAATCTCGTGGACGTGATATTGCCGGGCGAGTGCGTGTGGATCGCGCGTATCTTTACCACGTGCGTGCGACAGTCAAGTGTTGTTTTCCGATCGGTCGCGACCGGCAACACACGAGTCGAGCGGAACGCGCGCGGCGAACCCTCTTCGTAGCGACCCTCCCACCGTCAAGAAATACGCGTCCCAGCGTAACCTAACCACCGGTTTACGCGCGCCACCCCTCGAAACTTTCGACGCGTCACTTCGCGCCCGGCCCGAGCGATTCGACCGCGTGCCCGTACTCGGCACCACCGTCCCGGCGCGTTCCACCGGATCCGCAAGCGGTTCACACCCGTGATCGGAAAAACAATCGTACGCCTCACACGGGTCACGGCTGGGCCGAAAGCTCCAAAGGGACACACTCATCACCGGATACGTATCGAACGCGTCTTGAACCCGTATTCGTTTTCACAGCGCGCATAGGTTCTACACCGTCCAAACGCCCGAAATCGGGTGCCGTTCGCAGCACTGAACTCCGAACACGTTTTCTTATATATATATATTATATATGAGTACATTCCAAGTTCGTTTTTAACGTCCGATCACATTTTCCAAACGATTTTTTTCAACCATATTTTCACCCTAAAATTGTATTAATGGTTTCAAATAATATCATATTATTTTGTTTTCTACAATTTGTATACGAGTTGAAGTAGAACAACAGTAAATCGTTTTCGTGGATCGATTTTCGAAAAACACTAGTTTTATAATATGCTTATTTATAATAAACTGAGGTATCGGATATGAATAATGGTACGAATAATTTTTTTTACTGGTCTAAAAACAAACCGAAAGTGAAACTCTCCTTAGAGCGTGACATTTCTAATTTTTGGTCAAAAAATCTGAAAAAATCGAAATATACTGTTCGAAACACCAACAGTTAAAAATGAACTTTTAAAATTTAACACAACTCCTTAGCAGATGATGCTATTCTTTACTCGTATTTTAATGTATATATTGTTTATTGTGGAATACGTTTTTTTATAAAAATGTACTGTAAATAAAAACTTCATGCACGCGTTGATGTATCAGACAGAAACAATTGATTAACATTAACGAAACGTTTCGAGATGTTATTGTTTGTACGTTTATACTTTTGATTTTAAAATTTATAATTTAATTTAACTAATTCAATTTTTCCATAGGTAACTTAAAATAATAATGAATTATTTTCTTTTATAAACATAATTGAAATCGTTATAATTTTTTTAGTTTTAAATTAATATTATCATTATTATCAACAATTGAAAATAACAACAGAAAATTAAAGTATTTTATTCTATAATTAACTGTTTTATCCTATAAAAATGAATAAATTGCACGACCCAAATCTTGATAGTATTTTTGGTCAGACTCAGTTAAATATATTATTTAATGACATATGCTTATGTTCTGATGGTCAATGGGTCGGTAACGCATAATGATTTACAATAATTAAATAAATTACTGCAGTACACTGAACTTTCGTCAATGTTACAAAAAAGTTGTTTTAAAATTTAATTTAGCACATCTATGCCTAAATGATTTTGATTATTATTACATTTGGATTCGCTATTTTCAATTTTAAAATAGCAATAAAATAATATTTCAATGGCTATAGCATCAAGATGATCAGTGATTACAGTACCCCCGATAAATAATTAGTTATCGTACATTTATATTTATTAGCAAAGTGCATTTTTAAATTATATCGGGTGTAAAGAAAAATCGATTCAGAAAACTCAAAATGTAAAATTACATTTAAAACGAGTTGACACAAAAGATGTTTCATATAAAATATTTGGTTATTTAGAATACATATATATATATATAATACTTTCAATGCATGATAATTTTTTCCAACAGTTGACATGTCATATTTTAAGTGCATTATTAAAAAAAAATATATTTAATTAAATATTAAGAACGTGTTTGTTGAGAAAAATAAACATTACTGTTACTTTTTATCGACTCTTATCTTTAGGAAAGTAAATATTAAATTTTGATATAAACTATACCTACATTGATAATTTAAAATAGCTAAACCGATTATAAGAAAACAACTAAATTACAACATATTATTAACATAAAATAAAATGTCATTGTTTTAATTATATCATAATATAAAACGTATTAAAAAAAATTATACAATGTTACTATTGTAAGTTTTTCAGAATACAAATGCAATAGATACTCCTAATTGATGATGTTTGATGTGCGAAACGTAAAATAATCACAATTGGTATGACATTTTTAATTAAAAGTCAGCTTAAGGTAACATACATATGGACTTTTATAATGCTTTTATACTTTTAAATAAATCATTAGAGAAATTCTCGATAGATAATATGTGCAATATTAAAGAGAATGTGAGCAATAATTCTAAATGAAAAAATTTCAATGAAGGACATAACAAACAGACGTAAATAATTCTAATTTTAAAATTATAAAACCAATTCAGAAATATAATTTCTAAGAATATGGTTAATTTAAAATTTTGTATTTCCATTCATATTTTCAATGCCAATTTAAATCCGAAAATTTTTTATTAAAGTTCTTAATTTTCGATTTATTTAGTATTTATCACCAGTTTTAATGACCAAACTGCAAAAATCAAAAATGTGGTATTTAAAACTATATTACGGTTATTGTTATATTAATATTTTATATCTAAATGAATTTAAAATTAGTTATTTATTTTTCATTTGAGTGATTGGCAAAAGTAATGTCATGTATTACATTTTTAAAAGCGACACTATCTGGTTCAGTATTACGATTAAAACAGACAAACGTCATAAGTGTCTGAGTGTATGCTAATATATTGAACAAATGTATACCATGAAGACTAAATACTTATGTTCTAATTAAATTGGATAAATAAGTTTGTGTAATTATATGGTACATTCTGTATTTTTTAACCTATTAGGGTTATTGTAATAATTAGAAAAAACTAACGAGAATTTAATGAATTTTTAAAATGAAAATTCACATATTTAAGTACTTCATCGATCTTTTGGAATTCGATTACCTTGCAGAGTTAGATTAAAATTAATCTCTATAATAATAATATAATAATAATAATTAATCTTTATAATATGAGATAATGAAATTTTCTACCAATTTTTGTCACTATACTGAAACTAAGACCGAATTCATAGAGAAGGTTTTTCCAAACATTGCTCAAAATAACAAAGATCATGTAGATCAAGTGCGAAAGAGTTATATTGGCTGCAAAAACCGTTGATGTCAATAAAATGAATTTTCAGATTCAAAATAAGATAGTTGGTGAATTAATGATATACAAATCGATTGATTCCATTACTAACCAAGATGATGTTGTCAATTATCCAATGGAGTTTTTAAATTCGCTATAATTTCCTGGATTACTACCTTATAATTTGCAATTAAAAATCAGATCAGTAATCATTGTTGCGGAATATAAACCCGCCACATCTTTGTAATAGCACCCTACTTGCGGTGAAGAAATTAATGAACAACGTCGTCGAAGCCACAATTTTGAAAGGGAAATACAAAGGCGAAGACGTTTTGATTTCACGGATTCCTTTGGTTCCGAACGACATGCCATTCGACTTTAAACGGTTGCATTTTCCAGTGCGGCTAGCATTTGCAATGTCGAAAAATAAACCTCAAGGGCAGTCGCTAAGTGTTTATGGCATGAATCTTGAAAATCTATGTTTTTCACATGGCCAGTTATATGTCGTCTGTTCTCGTGTCGGAATACTAAAAAAACTATTTATATACGCGCAAGAAAAAAAAACTAAAAATGTTGTACATCATAAAACATTAGAATAATAAACATTTTTTTGAAAATTTTTTTTCATTAATTATACCAATTTGAATTCAATATTCATAATTAAGCTAGGACAACGTTTGTCGGGTCAGCTAGTTATTAATATATTATACCTATAATTGTTTTCAAAATAAAACCATACAATTTAGATTTTTTACTGGATCAATTTATTACACAAAGAACAATTAAACTACGAGTTTATAAAATACTTATCAATATTTCAACTCAATATAATAAAATATTTAAAAAAAAAAAAACAATGTCCAAGGATTAACAATAATGCTTTAATATAAAATAATATTTCTATCTTATGTATGATTGACGAAAATACAAACATTTATAATAAATTTATAAAAAAAAATGTATTATAGCATGTATTCATTGCTAACACTTAATAATAAGTGCACGTCATATATAACATTGGTTTCTTTTTATTTCTATAATTTATTCATTTTTTTTTTTTTTTTAATTATTTTCACCGATTTTTAGTCTCCATTGATTATTGTTGTCGACAGTACAAGACTTGCTTTTGGTCTTAACGTTATGGAATGAGATTTAAGCAAATTACTGAAAATCGGAAAACATTTATAATTCAGTATTTTTTATGAATATTAAATATTCTTTAACAAATCTTATATTTTTAAATTACCCAGTTACGTATCCTGAGTTGACACTGGAAACTTTGACTTTTAAAATTTCCGGTAGCGTTGGTCTAGCTGCACGTAAGTCAATCACTTCTAGTATACTGCCAAAATTAACGACGACAAAGAATGTCGTATGATCATAAAAACTCCTAAAAACGAATAAGAATTACTAAAATCAAGTATATATATATATGTATACGATATTGTTAAAAACCCCTACATATTATTATAGCATTATAAGTATATTATGTTAGTATAGAATATCAGACATTATTTATTGTATTAGCGTATGTAATACTTCTAAGAACCGATCGCCTAGTGGGGACCGATCATAAGGAATATGCTGATTCAACCCTTTTGGTTGCTAGTTCGGCCCTCAGCTGCGGTGATACCCGATTGAGCACAGTCGTTATCGGCCGACCTTTTTGACGACCCGATTGAGCACGGTAAAAAAAAAATAATATTGTGTACAACGTTGTCAGATTGAAAACTATTAGGCTGGCAACACACTAGCGTTATTTCAACGCGCCGTAATTTTACTGCACGTTTTTTTAAAGTACATTAAAATTAATAGAACACAACACACGAGTGTCGCGCAGTAAAATTATGGCGCGATATTTCGAAAACTATCGCGTGCACCTTGACTTTATCGTGCGTTAAAAATACCGCTATAAAGGCTTATCGTGAGTACTCTGAATTTAAAAATGCTGACAACCTTCTTAAATACTTATTGAATGTTGAAAATATATATTTAGGGAAAAAATTTAAATTTTTACCTTTTTCATGGCAATTGTATAAGTGCTATTTTTTAGTAAAAAAAAAGTATAATTATAACATGTGATTAAAATCCAATAAAAGATTTTTTTATTACAAATAGTTATATTCAAATGTATTTTATTTTGTAATAATAATATGGACGCACCGAGCTCTAAACACTAACAATATAAAAAATGCGAAAAAAATGGTGTCTTGTCGTTTTTCTATTGGAGAGTTATTTCTTTTAGGAAACCTGAGCCGTAAAAATTTTAAATAATGAAATAATCTTTACAAATCTAAAATTGAATTACATAATAATTATAAAAAAATCTTAAATGCACAGTAATACGAAGCACCAAATAATATTCTACGGTACAAAGCGGCAACGTTGCACCCATTTTCGTGCTCAATCGTGTGGTTTTTCGTTCTTTTTGGTTCCTATTGTTTGGTTCCCACCGTGCTCAATTGGGTTACGAAAAAAATCAATCATGCTCAATCGGCTTCCAGCCCTCGGCTCGACGATATCTTTTAGTAATTAAGCAATGTTGTATCAGTTTCAATGGGCAGAACCTCTGTCAAAGCATCAATTCGAATTCAATAACTCAACTTTTGTCAAATAAATAAATATTTGTTCCTTCATACCAGTACCATTATTTTTATTATATTTACATATTATAAAGTTGTGCATTGTTCTCAGAGCGCGCACAACAATATAATTAAGGACCATGAATGTATAAATATTTTATACAGATTTTAATTGTTTTTTAATAAAAAAGTTGTTTAACAAATTACGAAGGTGTTAAAAATAATGAGAAATTGATTTTGATTATTTGCCATTTCGATTATTTAATTTATAAACGAGTAAAATAACTGGCATTTAAAAGATTAATTTAAATTTTAGAGAAAAAAATCTTCATCAGTTTGGTACAATGAAAATATGATATCTTAGAAAAAATGCGATAATCTAGTTTATATTCCTACAGACAAAAACGTGAATAAAATAGCTCCATAACGTAATTTCGTTGACCTCGACTAAGTGATTCTCTTTTTGGTTTTAAAGTGAATTTTATTGATTATATACAACAACATTACTATTAATTTTATAAGGGTGCGTAAAGTATTGAAGAAATTGGAGAACATTATTGTGTAAGAGGTCACAAAACAATTATATTTCCGAAACATAATTAATAATTTTAACGCGAGGAGTAAAAAACCGTGGAGAGCGCATTCATCATATACCTCGAGAAACCGAACACCCATTTCGATAGCACGTATATGTGCAAATCTCCTTTGACAATCGTCGGGCTCTGTCTCAAACGCGATAGCTGTCTGTACGTTCTCAAATGGCTCTTGTGCTTGGACAGCTCCACCATGTTTTCGTGCCAATATTCCGGGTTGACGGGCAGCCAAGTTTCCGTCGCATTAGTGAAACCTGGAACCATTGGAAACGAGTTCAATACTGTAACCGTTTCCCGTAACCGAAAACGGACTCGACCGTGGACTTTGCAGTACCTGCGTTGCGCGAATCGTCCCAGGGGAAAGGGCTGCGCTCGGGGTCTCTGCTGAACTGTGTGTACCGCAGGGGGCCCACGTTCAAACCGGCCGGGTCCACGGTCTGATTCCATCGGACGTACGTGTCGTCGACACCGAGCTCGTCGGCGTAGTACGTGATCGGCGTGCCCGGCAACAGCATTTGCATCATATGCAGACCGTCGACCAACAACGGGTGCGTCCTGGTACCGACCCTGGAGTTGTCGTGGTTCCCGAGCTAACCAACCGGTTAACAACAATTAACGGTTGAGAGTATTTGTTATTATTAAGGCACGGATTTTAATGCCGTAAAAATTACCCTAAATTGCCTTAGAAAAAATGGAATTATGACCTAAGAAATGTAATTAACGACGTAAAAAAATGTATTAAAAATGTGAAAAATTTAATTAATGACGTGAAAAATGTATTAGAAATATGAAAAATGCACTGAACATTTTTATTTATTTGATCAATACTTTTCACAAACATAATCTGTATTATTGTTATCGTCATCGATCATTATCACAATGATAATAATGACATAATAATAAAATAAGTCGATAGTTTGATTAAAGAAAAATATTGGATACTTGAAATATTTTTAATTTTTTCCAAAAATGCTAAATTTTTACAAAATAAAAAAATATTGTCATTAAAATTAGTGAAGAAATCAAAAATGCATTCAATAAATACGTCAAAAAAATGCAAAAAAAAGCAAAATAAAAATTGAATTACATAAATCTACACAACTTGAAGCATATTTTTGCCGAACCAAGCATTGCGTGAGGATTTAAAAATAAAATGCATTTTGCATTAAAACCCGTGTCCTAGTTATTCTACGAAAGAAACGACCACTAACACGATAAACGTGAAGAATACTCACCACCCAATTGGCCCACTTCCCTTCGGGCATGTTCAACATCCACGATTTGATCATGTCGTACACCTGATTCGCGTCGGATTGTTTATTGAACGAGTTGATGAACAAAAAGTTGAACGGGAAATGAGCACCGGGATGGGTCGTGTTGCCGTAGTACAGCATGGTGTAGTTCAGCGGCGAATAGCATTCGACCATGAAGAAGCTGTTACGAACGAAAAGTGTGAACGATTAACACGTGAGCTCCGAATAACATTCGGAAACGCTTTCGGACGCTTCCCGCGGTTCGAGACCGGTAACACGTACTTGGGTGTTTTCTCGGAGATGGAGTACTCCTCGAAGAGTTCCCGCCACAAGTGGACCATTTGGTAAGTTTCCGGTTGGTCGAGCGTGTTCGTATGGATCAGACTGCTGTAATCGGTGTCGTAAGCACCGGGGTAGTTCGATTTCGGTTCGTCCTCTAGGTCTTCTCTCTCGTACAGATAGTTGACGGCGTCAAATCTGAACCCGTCCACGCCACGTCCCAGCCAGTAGAGTATGGTGTTCTAGAGACGTTTTCCCCATTAGACATGTATCATGCTAACCGTTAACGTTTGTAACACCGTGCAAGCTGACGGTCGTGCCGGTATTTTCAATACCGACAGTAATTACCTTGATTTCCTCCACGACCATTGGGTTCCTGTAGTTCAAGTCGGGCTGTTTCACTTGGAACGCGTGATAGTAGTACTGCTGACGTTTTTCGTTCCATTCCCAAGCAGGCCCACTGTTGAACACGCCCAACTGAAAGAGTTGAAAAAGTTGTTATCGTTGTGTTTTTTTTTTTTTTTTTTTTTTACTGATCAAATTGTGCACAGTGATTTTTATATTAAACATCTATTATGAAAACCATAGCTCGTAATTGTAATACACTTTTTCCTTACGCACCCAGTTGTTCGGAGGAATTCTGTTGCCGTCTTTATCGTATTTCGCGTCTTTCCACACGTAATAGTTCGTGTACGGTTCCATTCTGTCGACAGATTTCGTGAACCACGGGTGTTCGTCGCTGGTGTGGTTCGGCACAAAGTCTAATATTACTTTTATCCCTGGGAATCGCAATATATCCAAGTTTTTAACAAGCCCTTCACAACGCACATAATAACACACAACTCACCGTTATTGTGGAATGCATCTCTCAAACGGTCAAAGTCTGCCATCGTGCCGAACAACGGATCGATCATTTTGTAGTTCGATATATCATAACCGAAATCGTCTTGTGGAGATTTAAATATAGGAGATAACCAAATAGCTCCAACGTTGATGCTTTTGAAATAATCAACTTTTTCAGTCACACCTTTGAGAAACATAATAATTAGGAGTATGTTACTTAATTCTAGATATTTTTTTTTTTTATAGCAGACTCCGTTTTCTTTACGAAGAAAAATGAGAAATTACTAAAAAAATTTCACGTTAGTTTTTATTCATTTTATGAATTCGACATGTAGATATTTGACTGCAAGTTGTGAAATTTTGTCGAATCTATATAAAATTTTCATCCCGTATTTATTAATTTACTATATTATTACATGGATATTTCAAAAGTATAACAATTTAATGTTATTAAGGAATTAAAAGAGTTCATGACTCATTTAACTAAAATGTATTGTTTTCAGACGCTTTTCATTAAAAAGATAATCAATATCTTCAAAATATCTTTGAAAATGACATAAGTATCTTTAATTTTTTTTAAAAAAAAGTACAAAACAATATATTTATAATGGAAATTATTATGGCAATCGTTCATTGGAAGGTGGTTCTGACTTATTGTCTTATATTTTTGGAAATTCTTATAGTTAAATATTATGTATTTCAATAATAAATTAAAAAGTAATAACAATACTTATTAATTAATAATCAAATAGTTTAATGAACTATGTTATTTTTTAAAAGGTGAGTTAAATAATATATTATTTATTTTTATTAACTTATTTTTTTTAACATAAATAATATCAAAGGCTTATTTTTTCTTAAACTGTTTAAACAAAATATATAAATAATAAATAACTATTAACGCCAATGAGTTATTATTTTTTTTATTATAAATCAGATAAAAATTAAATATATTTAATCCATTGTAATATTGAAATTGTTTAAATGCTTCCAATGATCCTATTGTTTAAATACTTCCAAAAAATAATTTAAATCGACCAAAACATATTTAACTTGAACGAATAGAATGTATATTAAATAAATATAAAATTTAGTCAAATATACTTTTTAGCTCAATAAAGATTTTCAATGTTACAAGTAAATATAACATTCACTTATCATTAGTGTGCGTAAAAAATCAAACATATATTTCATTAAAGGAAAAAAAAAGAAATCTTGAACAGAACAAAATTTATGTTATAATTTCGAGTTAAAAAAGGTTGCGATATAGCAATTATTACCTAACTATACAAATATTTGAAGAATATTATTTTTTTACTACAAATAAATAGAATTATATAATTTTTAAGATAATTTAACATAATAATTAATAATAATAATCTTTATTGGCCAAGAAGGAAATTACAATAACAAATATAGGATAAATACATAATACAAGTTATATGGCCTATCTCGCCACTGTAGTTAGCCTCTTATCGGTGATGATGGAAAACCAACATAACTAACTGAATATTTTTTTTTATATATTAATTTTTTTTTTTTTTATCGGAATAATTTAGTATATTAATTAAAATATATGAATAAAATGCAATATAAATCGGAAATACAAGGTATAGTTATAATGTTAAGTTTGACTATAATAATTAATAAAAATAAGAAAATAAGGAATAATGATCAGATATAAGTATAAATGGCAATAAAAACGAAAATTCTAATGTAAATTTATTTAATTATAACTATTACTTATAAGTATAAAAACTATAAATTGTAGGTGTTATTTACTAGCCAGTTTTGATCAAATTCTTGTGTTTAGTATATGATATGCAATTAATTATATGAATTAGTACTTTATTTAATAAGTTTAAACCTATATGAGAAAAACATTGGCTTGATTTTAATATTCTAATAATGGTAATATCTAAATTATTTTTTATACGTGTGTTATGATGTCTTTTTTTATGTTTGATTAAATTAAATTTATATGAAAAATACAGAACTTTTCTGAAAAATAGCTGTTTTATAGTGAAAACTTTGAATTCTTTTAATAGGTTAGCAGTGAAATATGATTTTGATTTGTTCATATTTATTTTAATAATACTTTTTTGTGTTATAAAATTTATAAAAATATTATAAATCTATAAAAATATTTAATATTTTATTTTCTGATATAAGAATAGCCGTGTCATCTGCTTATAAAAATAAATTACCGTAAATATTTAGATTGTCTGATGAAGCATCATATATAATATATAAAATGGGCAATAGAATTGTTCCTTGGGGGATTCCAGATGTAATTGAAGTTATATTGCTTAGTGTGTAGTTAATTCTAACTTGTTGGGTTCTATTGTGGAGATATGATTCAAAAAGTTTAAATGTTTTATTAATTATACCAATGAATTTAAGGATGTTTAATAAAAAAATATGCGAAATGTTGTCGAAAGCTTTACTAAAATCTAGGAATGTATCTAATGTTTTAATATTATTATTTAGATTTGAATAAATTTTTATAGATAATTGGGCTAAGGTATCTTCTGTTCCAAGATTATTTCTAAATCCGTTTTGTGATTTGAAAATAATATTGTTTTCTTCTAGATATTGCATAAGTCTTGTTTATGGCTCGCAAAAAAGGTTTTTAAAATGTTAAATATACTAATCGGTTTATAATTGTTGATATTTGATTTGTCACCACTCTTAAGCATTGGAGAAACTACGACACTTTTAAGGGAGTCTGGAATAATACCTTCCAATATTATTAAGTTGAAAATATGAACTAAGAAATATGCAATTGTTTCTTTAATTTTCTTATTACGGTAATTGACAACCCATCTAATCCAGGAGCCGAATCACACCTTTCATATTTGAAATTATATTAATTACTTTTATTGTACGAGTAATTATATTTCTTAAATAGAGAGATTGATTAGGATTATACCGGTCCATTTATTATAACCAAATTTATTATAATCGTTTCTAAACAAAAACATCCTATGCACACTTTTAATAATTGAAGACAAAATTTGTATTTTTTGTCTCAAAGTCGTTACATATTATCTTTGATGTTATGTAATTTAAAAAACTAATTCCAAATATTTCTTCTGGTTTCTAGTGTTCCACATTTGTAAAAATAAAATTATTATTTTTCTAAACATTTTCAAATTTTCGGTAAATATCAAAAAGGAAAATATGCAATGTTTTAGTGCATTTTTATAATTATTATGACAAATATTTTTTTTATACTTTACAATTTATATTTACGTTTATCAATATTTTTGTTTCGAACGGAGGTCTTAAGTTCTAGACAATATGCATATTAGATCATAGAGGTAATTTTATATATTCCTGAAATACTATACTGAACTAAAGTAAAACAGAAAATAAATGTTCATTGCAATTGATCGTAAGATGTTGCTTACGCATTTCATTCCATAATATTACTGATTGCTGAAAACTTATTACTCGTTTTATACGTACCGTTAAGATCTCCGATTCCGTCGCCGTTAGAATCTTTAAATGACCTCACGTAAATCTGATAGATGATGTCCGTTTGCCACCATTCCGGTTTGAAATGCTCGTCGAATCCCTTATAGATGTATTCGGACGATACAAGACTATAGGAGATGAACAACGAGACAAAAACAACGGTCTTTAACATTTTCACATGGATTAAGAACTATCAATATAAAATGTATTGCAGTACAGCTCTAAAACGATACGACAGTTAACCGTCAATAGAATAACAAATCCGAACCAGAGTTGCATATATATGTATGTATATGTAAATTTCAGATATCGAATCGTTAATAATCAATGATTAAACCTCAGCCAAATCAATCATTTTACTAATCCACATAATATAAATTTATTGTATAATATTATTATATCTTTACTGTTCTGTTTGTTCTAAGTTTAATGTCTGTACAGGATTAATACTGGTTTATTCAATATCATTATTGGTGTGGATTACATATACAACGGAACAATCAAAAAGAATTCGGTATACACCTATCTACTTGCTTGTGTTCGTCAGATAGCAATAATTCGTTAACGATTCCAATAATATTATTTCAACTTAATTTTGTTCCTCTCCGCCATAAGTCACGAAATTAAAATATAATATTAAGTGAAAGTTTAACTAACATAATTTATAAATTATGTATACGAACAACAGCTGGTATCGTCAACAATAATGACTTCTTTTACATGCTGTATCACGCTTATTTTACCATCATCAAACATCCTTGTGTCCTAGATCACAGATTGTATAATAAATGTTATAGATATTTTTTTTTAACACAAATATCTATAATATTGTGATAAAAGTACATTTTTTTTATAGTGTACAAACACTTATTTAAAAAGTGAGATGAACCGTATACGGTTATCGGTGTACACTTCAATAGCTTGTTTTCTTTCGCAACTTCTCGGGAAACAAAAATAAACTCTAATAATGACCACACCAGTCGTCTGCCCATGATTTATGATGGATGTATTGTCTATTTACTTAAGTATTGTTTGCAATTTTTCGAATATACTAAATAATGTTAATAAGAGGGATAAGAATAATTAAAACGTTAATACGTGCAGTGTATTAACGATATTATAATATCAAAATTGGGATAACCAAATGCGCAATTAGAGGGCGTAATAGGGTTTTTAGCATCCCTGACTTCAATTTTAGCACTCCTGTTTTTTTTTTCAGATCTATATCATTTATAGTTATTATAGTGAAATACCATTCAATTTTACTTTCAGCAATTTCAGCACCCCAATATTTGGGCTCTAGTTGCATCCATGGGGATAATCATTGAAGAGACAATTATTTGATACAGCGATCAACTGATATCACCTACAATAAAATACGAATATAACATTAAACTGAAATGTGTTTATTTCTGTGGAATATGATATTATATTCTAATTCTCTCCGACGGAATGTTTGCAATTTATGGTAAATTATTAAATTTCACAAAAAAAAAAAAACATCGTTCTGAATGAACGAATGATAACTTTTTACTAAACAAAAAATAAAAACATAAACTTTTGTGAGTTTATGGTAATACTAAAATGTCTATAAAGTAATTTTATATTTTATTCATTTGGTGATTTGATTTTAACAGCGAAAATTTGTCTTAAAAATTCAATCGTTGTTGCATTATTTAAGCGTCCTCATTCATTCTTGATGTAGACAGAACAATACTTGCTTTCGGTCTTAATATTATTTGACTTGATCTCAACAGATTGCTAAAAATATGATCATATTCCATTAACGTTTTCGTGAGATTTGTTTTGATTTTAAATCGGGCTTATGTATAAACCGTGAAACTTACCCAGTTACGTAACCTGAATTGACACTGGAAATTTTTACTTTTAGAATATCCGGTAAGGTCGGTCTAGCCGCCTGTATGTTAATAACTTCTAGTTCACTGCCAAAGTTAATGACGATAAAGAACGTTGGATGATCATAATAACTCCTGGAATAAATTATTATATTATTATATTAGTCGTGTAAATATCAACCCAAATGATATGTAATTTTTTCGAAAACTTTAGTTGTTAATTGTTTTATTTTACCGAATCACTTGTTTATTACAGTTAATTATTGTGTTTAGTTAATCGATACTGATTGCTCGCGAAATAATCTGATATTATCAAAACAGTGACCGAAAAACTATTTCATTTCTGTAAACTATACTACTAAATTATAGTAAAATTTATGATGTCCGAATCGTACACTCCTAACCTTGCTTCCGGAAAAATTAAACTTATTTAACCTACACTTATGCAAAATGTAGTACTGCTAACTTAAATTTTGCAGTTCGATTATTTATAATCAGATACTCGACGCATGCGGATCAAGTAGATTTAATTATCACGATATACATAGGTGAGCAAATCGCTTGTAGTCTATTCGGGTCTTATGACTTCAACGTTATAAACGTATCACCTAAGTTTAAAAATTGATCCGATAAAATCATATTACCGTCGAACGATTACATCAAACAAATCAGATCATCCACTATTAATATGACTGATAAACGCGTTAACAGTGACATACGTTTCCTGAGTATTCTAGTTATTTATTTGTTCACATTAGATTGCGTTGCATTGATTATTGACAAATCGATATTAATGTAGAAGTGTTTAGAAGGTAGAAATGTACCTCGAGAAACCGAACACCCATTTCGATAGCAAGTATACGTGCAAATCTCCTTTGACAATCGTCGGGATCTGTCTCAGACGCGACAGCTGTCTGTACGTTCTCAGGTGGCTCTTGTGCTTGGACAGCTCCACCATGTTCTCGTGCCAATATTCTGGGTTGACGGGCAGCCAAGTTTTCGACGCGTTAGTGAAACCTGGAACCATTGGAAACGAGTTTAATACTGTAACCGTTTCCCGTAATCGAAAACGGACTCGACCGTGAACTTTGCAGTACCTGCGTTGCGCGAATCGTCCCAGGGGAAAGGGCTGCGCGCGGGGTCTCTGCTGAACTGTGTGTACCGGAAGGGGCCCACGTTAACACCGGCCGGGTCCACGGTCTGATTCCATCGGACGTACGTATCCCCGACACCGAGCTCGTCGGCGTAGTACGTGATCGGCGTGCCCGGCAACAGCAATTGCATCATGTGCAGACCGTCGACCAACAACGGGTGCGTCCTGGAACCGACCCTGGAGTTGTCGTGGTTCCCGAGCTAACCAACCGGTGAACAACAATTAACGGTTGAGAGTATTCGTTACCATAATAGAGTACGGATTTTAATTTAAATAAATATTTTTATTCAGTTTTAACATTGAAAAGTTTTTGACGTACGTGTACGTTTAATTTAATTTTGAATAAGCTGATGCTAATTCTATTTTAAATATTTTCAAATGTTTTACAAATAAATATACGTAATCTGTATTGTTGTAGAATTTCCGTTTTTATTTTAGTATTTTACGTTTGACGAAAAAAAAAATATTTTTAAAAGCGCCAAGTCGTATACTAACATTTAAATATATGTATCCAAATTAAACCCTGTCCCCCGAACTTATTATGCCTCAGTGGGATACGTGGCTATCAGCTGTTTTAAATTATTCGAAAATCTTTGAAAAAATTAAAGGAATTGGAACGAGAATGAAAAAAAGTTCACGGAGAAATTGGAGTTTTACTAATTCAAAATTACAAAATATATTAGGAAAAAACCCAGGATTTTACGCTGAAATTTCGATATGGGATATACTATTACACAAAATTCCAAAAAACAATTTAGAAATAGAATACTAAAATAATTAATGTGTATGAAATATGCACCTGTCTCTCCCGTTGATATGGAGAGATCATCTAGCCGTTATTAAGTAATAAAAAGATCGGATCACCGTAATTTTAAATTCTAAAATCTCAAATTATACGTTATTTCTAACTCTTTGTCCCACGAAGACTATTTGGATGATTCAGAATAAAAATGTTTAATTTGTATTATGTATAATTTATAAATTATAGTGAATTCTTTCTTGTTTTCAATTAAATATTTCAATATTATAAATAAATATATATAAATATATATATATATATTTATATATATATTTTACAAATGTGTGTTTAAATATTTTTAATTTTGTACTAAGCTAACATTCGTTCCCCAGGTATTATCATTTGCGAGCCGTCCAAACAAAACGAGCTCCAACACGATAAACGTGAAGACTACTCACCACCCAATTGGCCCACTTCCCTTCGGGCATGTTCAACATCCACGATTTGACCACGTCGAACACGTGTTGTGCGTCGGACTCTCGGTTGAACGAGCTGATGAGGAAAAAGTTGAACGGGAAATGAGCACCGGGATGGGTCGTGTTGCCGTAGTACAGCATGGTGTAGTTCAGCGGCGAATAGCATTCGACCATGAAGAAGCTTTTGCGAACGAAAAGTGTGAACGATTAACACGTGAGCTCCGAATAACATTCGGAAACGCTTTCGGACGCTTCCCGCGGTTCGAGACCGGTAACACGTACTTGGGTATTTTCTCGTACATCGAATACTCGTCCACCGTTTGCCTCCACGAGTAGACCATTTGGTACGTTTCCGGTTGATCGAGCGTGTACGTATGGATCAGACTTCCGTAATCGGTGTCGTACACACCGGGATAGTTGGATTTCGGTTCGTCCTCCAGTCCTTCGCTCTCGTACAGGAAGTTGACGGCGTCGAATCTGAACCCGTCCACACCCCGTCCCAGCCAGAAGAGTATCGTGTTCTAGACAGTTAGGCATGTGTTAGTACAACTATTGGCGTTCGCGGTATTGCGAACGCTAAAGCGCCGGTGTTTTCGGTACCGACAATATTAATAAGGTAATTATTACCTTGATTTCCTCCACGACCATTGGGTTCCTGTAGTTCAAGTCGGGCTGTTTCACTTGGAACGCGTGATAGTAGTACTGCTGTCGGATTTCGTTCCATTCCCATGCCGAACCTTTGTTGAACACGCTCAGCTGTAATAATCGGTTATTTTATTTTTTTTTTTATATTCAATTTCGGAATAAACTAATTTTCATCCGTCGACAACACGACACTACACCGTAAAACACGAACACGGAACGTACTCCATTTGATGTCCGTTACTCACCCAGTTGTTCGGAGGAATTGGGTTGCCGTCTTTATCGTATTTCGCGTCTTTCCACACGTAATAGTTCGTGTACGGTTCTATTCTTTGAACGGATTTGTTGAACCACGGGTGTTCGTCGCTGGTGTGGTTCGGCACAAAGTCCATTATTACTTTTATCCCTGAGAATCGCAATAAATCAATGTTTTTAACAAGCCCTTCTTGCGAACGTTGGTTACTCACCGTTTTTGTGGAATGTATCTCTCAAACGATCAAAGTCCGCCATGGTACCGAATAACGGATCGATCATCTTGTAGTTCGATATGTCATAGCCAAAATCATCTTGTGGAGAAGTATATATTGGCGATAACCAAATGGCACCGACGTTTATGCTTTTGAAGTAATCAACTTTTTCAGTGACACCTTCCGAAAAGAATAACATTAATCAATTTCAATACTTAGGCTTAATATATACGAATAATGAATATGCAAATATTCGGATTAATTCGTTATATTCTATATTTTGGAAAAATATTTTTCTAAAATTTTATTATTTTCAAGTTTTTGTCTAAGAATTAAGCATAAAGATTTTTGAATGTTTATTGAAACATGTAGCACTAATATTTTTATTCACGGTAAACGTTTTATATGCTGCATATTCGTTAGTGTTTCTATTTTTTTTAATCACTTTTTTTTCTTTGCGACTGCGTGCCAAATACATATTTATATAACTTTTTTTTACATTGAATTTTATCTAAAGACATTTAGGTAATAACAAAACAAAATATTTTTAGGTTACGATTTATCACATTAGTTTTTAAAAATAATTTATCTGAGTCTTTTAATATTCTATACTAGCTGTATTTATTTGGGCGGGACCATTTTCTCTAAAAATGAATATGAAAATTCCTTTTTATTCCACAAATAAATATCATTTTCAAACAAACGTATTTTTTAATGTTCATTTATTTGAACATTTTGAAAATAAAACTATAAATGATACTAGTTTCTAGTGATGTGTCGTTACTGTTGTAATATTACGGCACAAATATTTTGATCTGCAACTTGCACTTTCTCTGTATATTATATTAGCTTTGAAATTTCTATGGATATTGGCTTATTCAGTATAAAATAATAATCAATCGTTCACACTTACCTCTATTATACTAAATAAAATCAACTAAGTAAAAATTAAACTAAGTTATGTTGATTAGTGCTGTATAGTATTATAATACACAGTGTAATCGTTATTGTGAACCACTTTATACGTTGGAACCTATAAAATACTAATGAATTGTAAATAAGATAAAAATTACCATTTTTTACTGGAGCTCATTGCTATATTTATAATGTTATCGACTATCGTTTTCAGCAGTAGCATACACAGGATTTTAGTTAGGTTAGGGTAAATATAAAAACTATAAGCCAAAAACTGAAAAAAAAAATTGTTTGTATGTTTGTAAGCATAGTTCTAAATTTTAGGGGGTGAGGGTTAAAACACTAATAGAACCTAATCCTTACGTAAGATACTAGTTTTCAGTTCAGCTTATAAATATAATTGTATGTTAAAATAATTTTAAATTAACATTTTATTAAAATGTTATTAAAATTAAATAAAGGTAGGTAATCTTGTGTGTTTATAAATTATTAGTTCAAATTTATTTGAAAATGGATGTAAAAAAGTATACACAATATGTAAATTAACTGGAAAGTCAGTAGTTATTACTCCTAATATAATGTAGATATTGAAGTTACGTTTTTTTTAAACATAATATGTGACTATAGCCCATCTTTTACCAAGATTAAAAAAAATCTAAAATTCAAATTTTTTTTTTTAAAATAATTTTGAAAATCACCACTTTGTAGAATTACTAAAAGTTACTTAGGGAAAAAAAATTGAAATCCATTGAATTTTGAATGAATGAGAGCATTTTATGTTTTCAAAAATTACAACAAATTGTAAAATTGTATGGTTTTTAAACTCTTCAATAGATAACTATTGGGCCCCCACACGAGTTCTCTCAGTGGGGCCCAGTATTCATATGTATGTATATATGTATGAAATAAATAAATAACTAAAAATATGATATTAGATAATGAAGTACACACAACTTATTAATATTTTTTGTAATATTTTTATTTTTGCTGATTTTTTTGAGTTCTCATTCATTCAAAGTTCAACCAATTTCAATTTTTTTTTCTCTGAATAATTTATAAGTAATTCTACAAAGTGGCTATTTTCGAAATTTTTCAAAAAATTTTTTGCGGTTTTGAATTTTTAATTTTTTTAAACCACGGAAAAAGATTGGCTATAAGTTACATATTATGTAAAAAAAACGGAATTTCAATATCTGCATTATATTAGGAATAATAACTACTTTCCAATTAATTAACATATTGTATATATATATACGTATTATATATATTATGGTGACTGATAATTGGAGGAAAATAAATAATTAATAAATGCATCTATAATAATTAGAGGAAAATGGGATGGATCTTTATTTGGAGAAAAATGGAAGTGATGCAAAATAGACAGCGGAGGAAAATCTCATTTTTTTCAGGAAAATACCTCCAGCCATTTGAGTTCCCGTTTCAAACAAAATAATTTGTTTATATAATATTAATAAAACTCAATATTTATTACACATCATGTTGTTTATCATCTCATATATATTTTTATTGAAGTCGTTTTTTCCGATGATGCTACCAATCATTATTAACATACTGATATTAATTATACGCTGAATATGTGAAATATTTTCTTTAAATTTATAAAATTATATATGTTATCAATATTATATAAAATTGAGAATGTTCGTATTGCTATATAAAAAAAAATTATAGTGAACAATTTTTTAGTTAATAAAAATGTATTAATTTTTATTTTTATTTTTTTCAAGCTCTCCGATAACTTTAATTAGATAACGCTGTATGTATCTATACAATTTTGAGTTTTTATATGTAGCAAGTTATAAAATATCATTGTTTAAGTGTAAAATAATATTAATATTTTAACGTTTAATACATACCATTAAGATCTCCAACTCCATCGCCATTAGTGTCTTTGAAAGACCTCACGTAAACTTGGTAGATGATATCGGTTTGCCACCATTCAGGATGGAAGTTCTCATCGTAACCTTTGAATATGTACTCGGATGATACAAAAGTATGGGCGATTAACAATGAAACAAAAACAATTATTTTCAACATTTTTAAAACAAATTCAAAACTATTTCTATTGTATATGTATATGTATAATATATATATATATATGTTACGACGGCGAACCGTCTCCAACGTACAATGTATAATATTAATGACAGTTCTGTTAAAATATGGGCTTTTTTAACTCTAAGTTGGTCCGTATTATCTAATCAAAAATTATTTTCCAAACATATCAAAGCCAAATATCGTTATGTAGGTAATATTAAATATTTTTATTTTCCTATTTTATTACTACATAATAACCATTGGATTATTCAAAACCAACACTAGAGATAATATGTACCTATTAAAGCAATAAAATCAATTTTTGAAGTTTTAATAAGATGATGTGTTTCAATAGTGGAGGAATGCACAAATTACAGAGCGAAATAATTACCATTTTATCGTTTAAATTAATCACATATATTACATATAATAATACTGATGATTAGTCATCGTTTGTGTAGTATATATTTATAATACATAGATTGCAAGTATGAGTAAAGAATACATTTTGGTAAATGTTTATTATTTTTGAAGTTAAAATTATTCCATATAAAATCGAAAATATTACCTAATCCAATTTAATTTATCTTTATTATACCAAAAAAATTGTACAGTAATAAACTTCTAGTTTTCCGTTTTATGGGTGTTTTCGGTTAAAATTAGATCAGTCAATATGAAAAATGGTTTACTGTTCATATTTCTATATATTTGGGCGATGTATAGAGTTTATATTAAATATGCATTGCTCTTGAGCACGAACATTTTAGAAAATCATACAAATAATAGCGCTATAGGAATCGTTGTATTTTCCATCAACTGTATCGTACCTATTTGAATAGGTAGTTGTAAATATATTGTATTCAATTTTTTATTTCTATTATATAATGGATCAAAATTAGGATACATTTGAGCTATTCCACTCTTCAATATTATTTTAAAATAAAATTAAGGACTTTGAAAAATATAACTTTTAATAATATAAAATTCTAATAAATGAGTGTTATTAATGTTGGTAACTCAAAGCTTAAAAAATTACAAACAGTATTTATTTTATAATTTCACTCTAAATTAAAAAAAAAATGCTATGTCTACTTATGAACGATATACTTTAAAATTTCAACAAACTAACCTGCAGAATCTTCTATAATATTTTGGATGGCACCATACTTTAAAAAAAAATTTCCCAAAAAGGAATTAGTTCTATAAAATTATAACTAAATCAGTTTTATATTTTATCCTCCATTGAGAATGACGAAGTATTGAAGTTTAAATGAATTCAGATTTGTTTAATAAAACAATTTTAATACAACAGTTATGTTTTAAAGGACAATAAGATAATAAGTAAGATTTGTATATTTTAATAATGTTTTAATCTAGAATTGAAATTAAGCAATTACTTTGTATTAAGTTACTGTTACGCTACAATTTATTAATTATATATTATAATTATGTATTAGTATACATATTATTAATCATATACTTAATACATATATAACTACATATAATACAAACTCGATTTATATAGATAAATAAACATACATAATAAATATAAATTAGTTATTAGGATATTGAAGAATATGATAAAATATTCTCGATACGAAACTAATTAATAGATTTATTTTCTTTTTACGATTAATGTTTTCTTTTACACTCCATAGAATAACCCAGCTACAAATATTGAATAACATATATTAACATTATCTTAACATATTTAACCTAAAGTAATCGACGCCCGAAAACTTGTTGTTCAAAATTTCTCGAGGATTTTAAAGCTGCTATCAATCCATTAATTGTTTTATCAACAAAAGTTTTAAAACAACTGCTTCCGTCTTCAAAACATTATATTTAAACTCGTATTCTCCATTAATCCACCAACTTCACTTCTCATTTCTGTTTAACATCCCTCCATTTTTATTATTATTGCTATTACTATTATTACAATAATATCTAAACACTGTTAAAGTTATCTCATTTATCGCCGACCCATTTGTAAACATAGATCTTTATTGCATATTTTTGCAACTAGTAATTTGATAATATCATAAACCTACTGATATATTATTATCACTGTATCGTATAACATTTTATAAAATTTACGATTTGGATTATTGAATTAGATATTATATTATATAATATTGAATTATCACTTGAATTAAGTACATTTTGCCGAAAACGTGTTCTTCGGTACTTTAAACACACTAACTAACCCTAATTTTTAACACACACAAATGCCAATCAAGTTGAAGTGGACATGGTTTTTCGAGACGTATAAGCGTGATGTTAATGCTCGATGTTACAATGATATTAATTATGTTATACCCTCAAACCGCGTGATAATGACGTATTAATATTACGTGTAAGAGCAACCACGATAAAAGACGCGCGTCAATGGCAATTATATAACAATATTAACTTACATCGAGTCTCAAATATAGATATTATTTCCTCACCATCCCTCCGGTGTGTGCAACCAGCGGTGTAGACCACTAGCAGTGAATAATAAAAAAAATCAAATTAAAAATTAAAAAACTCAAACCGGCGTTAACCACCGCGTAATATCATACGTATGTACAGCGTGGTACGTATACATAATTTTATATGTACATAGGTGTACCTTGTGTGTGTGTGTGTGAGTGTGTGTTTTTGGAGTATTCTATTCGTTTTGCCTTTGAACCGGCTCGTTCCCGTTGCTCCCAGTGTGGTCTCTCGTGCACAAAACAAACCTCCCATCGCGTATCGCAGTAGGTCTAACTGACTTTTTGTCGAATAAACAAAAAAACAAAAAAAAAAAAAAAACAACAAAAAGAGCAACCATTTCCATTGATCAACGAGAATGGACCCGATTTTCTGTCAATTATTATTCATATTATCCAATCGCTGTCGTTACGGCGTATTACTACAGAGGACCACCGACCGTTAGCCACAATTTTTTATTATTATTATTTTTATTATTACTTCATTCCCCGTTCGACATCCGGATGACGTTTTAGCCGTAAAGTCTAACTGCAATCATTACTCAAACATCGCATTATAATATAATGCATGTGTATTATTGTGTACTACGTGAACCGTCGCCGCTTCACTCGTGGACTAAATACGCTCGTCCATTGATCGCAAACAAATGTACGTGCGTATAATATGTATTCATTGTAATATAACGCACTGCGCGTTTGTCGATAAGTACATTTCGTTAGTGAATTCTGTTTGACGTGCACAATAATGTACGGGTGGTAGATTTTGGTGATTCGCATTAAATGTATGTAACATTATGTGTTTCAATGTTAATATATTAGAAGAGAATAAATTCAACTGCCCCGGTGGCGATGAGTATACAAGGTGCTCGCTTACGATCTTGTTTTTTAAATTTTTGACGAACACGAGTAGAAATGAGATTGAATTTTTCGTCAAATCCAAATACGGGAGTGGAAACTTGAAAATTTTATTAGAAATAATTGTGAAATGCGGGATTAGAATAAAATCCATTATCTTATAATACCCGTCAATCTCGATTAATAAATCGATATCATCTTATATATAAATTAATATCATCTTTTACATATTCTTATATTTTCTGGTTCTGTTTTGAGATGTATAAAATTAGCTAATTTTAAAAAAATTACATTAAAATGCCATTAAGATACTCATTGATCATTAAAAAAAAATATATATAGATAAAACATGCTGTTTTTTGCAATAAATCAATATATCACATAAATGTATGAAATTTTGAAATACGTAATATATATTTCATATTATATATATATTTTAACAAATGTGTTAAACGATGAATCCCTAAATATAGACACAGTCTTCTCCATTTTTTTTTGACATCGAAGTGTTTATCTTGTTAAATATTTAAGACTTAATATGAATACAAATTGATTTCGTTAACTGTTTTTTAGAATCAAAAAATAAAACAATAGATAGGTTCAGCTATGTTAAAAGGGTTAAATAATGAACATAGAAAATAATAGATTTGAAATATTGATAGTTAAAGCAAAAAAAACCGCTACATCTTTAAGTATACCTGTACAATTAGAAAAAAAAACGTTCAAGGATTTTTGGACGATAAGTCAACAAGTCTCCAAACGAAACGAAAAACACTTGTATTAAAAACCAAACAAGAACTAAAAAGAGAATTTTATTGAATAACTCACACTAATTTCAGTTAGAGGTATTGAAAAAGTAGTATTAGAGTTTGGGTTTTTAATGGGAAATAAATCGTCTAAAATGAAATCGGAAGATGTGTGTAAATTGTCAAATGACACTTGGCTATGAAATTCTCAATGGAACTGATTTATATTCAGGATAAAAATGTGTTAAATATCAAATTAATAACTTGATGGATAATTTTAAATCAGCTACTCCTTTTGAGCTACTTAAATATAATCAAGATTATTCTTTAAAAGCTACTTATCCTAATAGTGAAATAGCACTCGGAATTTTTTTAACGATGCCGGTGACAAGTGCAACGTGCGAAAGAAATTTCAATAAATTGAAATTAATTAAACGCTAAGATCTACAAAGGGAATAATGCCTATCGAACGTGAATTGGCCTAAAAAATCAACTTTGAAAGTGTAACTAATGAATTCGCGACAAAAAAAGCTTGAAAAGTAAAATGTTTAAAGTTTATAAAATCACTATTTCTATGATATGTTATAGTAGGTTCGAAAATGTTTTTTTTATTCATAATCAATACTATTATCATTTATAATTATACAAGCTTGTATTAACAAATAAAATGATTATGGGATATATGCATAAAATGTTTTTGGAAGCGAGGGTAAAAATATTTAAAAGCGTAGATTTATTAAACAGCCTCTATTCATCCAATTACAACTGACGAAACACGTATCGACGTACGTATACACGGAACACGCACGAGCGGCCGCGACGTAGTAAGTCCTTAATGATGCGACCGATCGGAGGGCGAACGGAGATCTACGATCGATAGTGTACAATGCATGTCGAATTATCGGTAATTGTTCTCGTCACTTCT